CCTGGTTTTTTAAGGGGGCCTTTTAGTACGTGGGGGCATTTGTTGTCAGATGGGCAGATTTACTGGAGGTACACAAAACTGGAGGGAGGAAAGGAGCCCACAGATGGAACTTTTCCTGTCTTGACTGTCAGAGACATTTCTGTTGCAGACACAGACTGTCAAAATAAATAACATTTCTTAACAGGACAGACATCGTGGTGTGTAGAACGGGGCCACGGCTGCTCAGGTGAACCATCAGGCTCCTCACAGCACTTTGAATGGGAAGCCGGCAGACGGCAGGTTCAGGTGAAGTCATGTTACCGACTTCAATCACAGGGAGGGACTGCCCACACAGACAGGACACAACAAGATGAGGTTGATAACGTCACCCCACGCTGGTAGATTTCCTGTGAAAGTGATCCCTGTGCTAACTGTTTGTTTAAAAGCTGACAGGCTACAAGAGTCTCTGTGACAGCATCTATTCATCTCCGGGTGTCAGATGGAGAGAAAGGGGGGAACAAGGGGCCGGCTGCAGAAACAGAGGGAGCGGGCAGATAAGGAGAGCCGGCGAGAGAAAGCCAAGATTGGAGTAAATGGGAGACGAGTGGCGTTCAACAATGGGGCTGGTTTACCTTCAGCTTTGAAACCTGTTTCTCTTCACCCTAGTAGCAATTTCTGAAATTCATCTGGCGTGTGAGTGAATGGGTGCTGATGTTTTCATCAGTTTGGTTTTAATTATATGTCTCATTCAGCAGTCTTCCTTCTACTCTGCTAATTTAGATTGAGATCCTTCCAGGCTTCCCCTATCTTTCATTTCCCTCCCCTCTCTCTCTCCTCTCTGCATCCCATCAGCTCCTTTGTAGAAAAAAAGAGGAAGGGAGAAAAAAAAACCTCCATGTCTGTGACTTTCTCGCCCTCCAGCGTATGAAGCCCTCTTTTATTTTGATCATCGCAGCACAATGGATTCATGCCATTCTGGCAACTTTATTCAGTATCAGCCCAAATTTACATACTGCTTAACAAGTTTGTGCGTGACTGTTGATGCCTCTGATCAAAGCGCTTTTGGAAATCTTTCTCATCTGACTCTTTCTTTTTTTTTTTTCTTTTCTCCTCATCCTTCATTTCAAATGCATGCTGCAGACAGGCATCTTCACTCAGGGCCAAGGAAAGGTAACCTTAGTGCTGCACAAGCCCAAATGTCATCCAACAAGGAGGGCTCATGTCCTGGGGATAAAGATAATGTAATCTAAGCAGTATACAGTGTGTGTGTGTGACTGTGTGTCCTTAAGTGTGTGTATCTTTGCTAGCCTCGGTGTTTGTTTGAGGCTTAGTTTCAGGGGCGGAGGGAGACAAGGGATGACAAAAGTCAAAGCAGTCATGTGTCATTTTCGGTGCTGAGGGGCTGGGACCCGCCTCCAGGGCTGTCCTCTCTGTCAGACGCACTCACATATCCACGCTGAACTCTCTCACTGTCTCCTTTTTTCTTTTTTTTTTTTTTTTTTTTACTTCTTCAACTCTCCCATCTCTCGGTGGAGTACGTGCAAGTAGTATGCAGCTGTGCGACTCGGGCGATGATTCTGTGCTCCGAGGAACGTACAGTAAGTTAAGACTCCATGTTCAATAAACAGTGACGGCGAAAAAAACACCAGACCTTAAACCATAAACATCTGTTTTGGATGTACAGCACGCAGTGAGTCATTTCATATTTAAATAATGGAATCCTGAGCTCATGTGAAACCAGAGAGAGACCATGAACCCATGTACTCACAGCCCATAACAATGGAACGTTAGGCCAAAACTGAAAAGCTTTCGCGAAACAAATGGCCAAGAAGTTGCCATTATACAAAACCGTTGGCCCTCAACATTCCCGTTCCGTGGAAGGACAAAGGGAGATTCTATGGAAAGTGAACTCTGTGTTACCTGCAGCACAATAGACTTCACTTTACAGGAAAAAAAAAGTAAATATATGTGTCCAGCAGCGCAAACAGCAGATGTGAAAATGTTAAATAAATGAGAAAGAAAAATTGATTCAGAAATACAATGAAAAGAGGGTGTGGGTGGAAAGGCAGGAATCGTGGGAATGCAAGATTGCACCTGCCTCAGGCAATCGAATTATCCTATGGGCCGCTAGTTCCTCCTTATGCGTTGCTGACATTTTCCTGTAACCCCATCCCAAGTAATGCTATGTGATGTGTGTGACTGTCTCCTGCCACTGCCCTGCAAGGCCATGCCCCAGGGACATTTGGTTTTGGCCCGCAGCACCCTGGGAATTGTTTATTTTAGCTCTGTTTGCTCCTCTTCACCTCCCTCTCATGTTGCTCCCTCCTGCCTCGTCTCTCCTGTTTTCCCCGTTTCTCTCTTCTGGCCCAGCGGTGTCTACTTTCAACAGGAGGATGCACATGTGAAGGGTAACTCAAAACCACACCTTTTAATCTCTATACTCTTTGCTTAACTGTTAGTTTTCCTGAACAGACAAAGGTAAACTCAAACCAAGATGATGGATGTGTGCTCAACTCTACATGTTGGTCTGTGTGATGGTGATAAGAGTAAAGGATCAATTGTGGAAAGGAGAGAAAGAGAGAGAGAGACATTTGAAGATGGAGGAGATGAGATATGTGATGAGATAACACAATGATATTCAAAATGTTTCCCTGGAGCTACGAGTAAAAAGAGAACATTAAAAGTGAACACATTTTGATCGTTTATGGGTATGTACGCCTGCACACCAATATGCTCGAAATTCACGGCACACTCCCGGAGCCCTAAAGACACGAGGCCAATTCCTAACACACAAACAGTGCATGTGTGTAACTGTCAGCATGTGACAAGCAGAAAAGAGACAGTGTTGAGAACATAGCCTTTTATGACCCAACACACTCTGACAGCTTGGCCATCGCTGGAGGACACGAGCAATGTTGCTTTTTCATCTGACAATTTTTAAGCAAAACAACTCTCCCTCCGTGGATTTGATCGTACGCAGAGCCTTTGTGCAGCTGTGGTTTGAAGAACTCACACAGAAACATGTCAGCAGACCCCCCTGGACTGCACTTACTGGTTATTGTGATGGGTCAAGCTGCCAATCTACAGGATGAGAAGCGACATGAAAGTGAAAGTGATACGATGGGGGAGGCACACGTGCTTTTATGCAATACTGCACTCTGCTGGCGGAGGGAAGGAGAACACCTTGAATAATGAGGCAGTCTTAGCAGAGGACTAATGTAACCCAGAAGTGTCCCCGAGGACCCCAGTGTCTGCTGCTTCTACCCTTGAAGCTGTTGCCTTTTTTTTTGGACCTAAGGACATTCAAGTGGAAAAAAATGTGAACATCCCAGGAGGTGCTTTGAAACGCGGCCACAGGGTGGCACATTAGAGTGACAAAAATGTGGACGCTCTCAGTGAAATCTGCATGCGACTGGGAAAAATTTAGAGGACAGAGATACTGATTTAAAAGGAGAGGTCACAAGAATGTCAAACACACACACACACACCCACCGGTTCGTTGTATGTTGACTAACCAACAAGATCACAATTTAGCATGCTGGGTGCAAACAGCCAAAAGAGATGGAGGCAAGGTTTTTAAAGTCAGGCTAATATAATCTTTGCTATGTGAATGTGCAATTGGCCTCTGAGATGTGTGTGTGTGTGTGTGTGTGTGTGCATACAAACAATGCACTCATTCGACATGCCCGCAGCAGTGTGCAGTCTTGCTCAGAGAGTACATGTCCTCAGGCCTCCGCCTTCCTCCGTCGATGACCTCTGGTGAAGCCATTATTTTGTGCATTAATGATGAGCAACAGTCAGTGATGAGAGAGATGGACTCTGTCCTGAGGCACTCCAGCACTGATTATGGGCAACAACAATGCCAAAAAGAAGATAGATAAATAAATAAATTTAAACAAGAAGAAAGAAAAAGACATCTCTGCCCACAAGCGGTTTGAAAGCCTTGGAGTCTTAGCAGCAAAACAGAATAAGCTGCTCTCGCCGTATTGACAAAATGGATCAGATAAGCTCTTGGGCTGGAGAAAGGCTCAGTCTTAACTTTAAGAAAATGTTACCTATACCTTGTTTTGTAGCCTGGCAATTTAAACATATCTCTATCTGCAACCTGAGAGTCAGAAGAATGTCGAGGACATCTACACTCAATTCTGACACGTGGCAGGCAATTAGCGTACGCTAGGGTTAGGGTTGCGAGTAAAAATATAAACACATTCTTTTTTTTTAAATTCTCTCCTAGGATTTAATGACACGTATGGGAAGTCATATGAAGTCATTACTAATTGATCCTCTGACATCAGCTCTGAAGCCTATAGGAGTCACAAACAAGACAAATTGCAGACAAATGCATTTGCTCTCATCAAGGCAGGCAGGGCACCCACTCAGGAAATCCTGGCTTGGGGAGATGACTCTAAATGAAGGACTTTACCATTCACCATTATGTCTTTGGTGAGAGTCAGAGAGAACCCTGGGGCTCTTCAGCACAGCACGGCACAACTTTTCAAAGGGCTCCAGATTAAAGTCACTGAAAGTTCCCACCGGGGTCTGAGGCCAGGATCCCATTAAGCAGCCCCAACCACACCGCCGGCCATAATTGTGTCGTTGAGAATTCAGAGCAGTGCTTGCTTGATAAGCGAATTTAGGGTGAAATAAAAAAAAAGGAGAGGCAAAATAGGGGTCTCGTTGGGCCACTATTAGACACTTCATTCACTCATTGCTAATTTGTTTTAAATGACTGAGGGAGAGGTGAGTAATTTATAAAACAACCTAAGCTACCTTTTCCCCATTTCCAGGTCTGAGCCACAGAATGCTGATAAATGAAAAACACTGCCGTTTATAGCCACACGCCACACCGCCGCTAGTGCTGCTTTAAATTGTAGTTATCTTTATCACAGCAGTTGCTTTGCGGCAGGTTAATCAATAAAGAGTCTCAAATCTCATCATGAAGACATTGGTCAGTGCACCACCAGTCAAGGCAGTCAAACATCCTTAAGGAATAATTAAATCTTAAGAAAAAACAAACACACTACAAATAAGTCAGGTTTTATTGGACATAAGATTCATGACAAACCTTAATGTTACAATTGATTTATTTCAACAGAGGAAAGTGATCAGAGATGTTTGGTCAATGGTACAAAACATGAAGTGTACTTTAAATGATAGGAAATTCCTTCCAATTTACTATATGCGACCTAAATATGCTGTTGTCTTCCAAGTGCAATATAAAAGTCTCAGTTAACTGCTTCAGGTGGATTTTTTCTGCTTCTTCTTTTCTGCCTCTTCCTCCTTCTCCTTCTCAATCTCTGCAACAAAGCTCTCAATTTCCTTGGATTCCAAAATCTGCCAAGAAAGCCAATTATTAGTTTCCTACCTCAAAAATAAATAAATAAATAAATAAAATAAATAAAAAAACACCAGAATAACAGGTAGCACAAAAACAGACACTCACCTTCAATGGCTGATTTCTTCTGATAACGGCAAGTTCAATATTTTTTCCTCCTGACTGGACAACCTACAGACACATTCAGAATTATCTAAAAAATTCTCCAGTTGACTTGACACATCTACCATTCAGTTATTCCCTCAGCAGAAAAGCCTGTTATTTCATTCTGGTACATCACATGGACAAATACACCGTTTCAATGAAGTCAATAAAAAATCCAAAATTGTCCGTACCTCAAGCAAAGCTTTGATGGCCAGCTTGATGGTCTCGTTGTCTCCAGCAATTGCTTCATCTGTGTAATTCTTCTCCAAGAACTCCCTCACAGTTTTTGCGCTACGGCCAATTGCATTTGACTACATTTAAAAACAAAAACATAAGATGGTTCAGACATGCACCATAAACACATTTGTTTATAGAAAGAACATCGCTGACCTTCCAGGCGTGGTAGGTTCCTGATGGGTCTGTCTGATAGAGCCTGGGAGTTCCATCGTAATCGAAGCCCACAATTAAGGCAGAGATACCGAATGGCCTGCGACCATTACTCTGAGTGTAGCGCTACAAATATGACAGACAAAATGATAACATGATTAACGTTATCTAGCCTGAAACAAAGGTAGTTTTAAAGTTGTAAAACAATAAAAAATATTGCTAATAATCATCAAGATTTGTGTATGGTTCATCACAAATTCTTCACAATCAACAAGTCAATATTGGATCTTTTACCTGTTTCAGTGTAGCTATGTACCGTGTGATGTATTCCACTGTGACCGGGTCTTCAACAGTTAGCCTGTGGCTCTGACACTCAACCCGAGCTCTGTTTATCACAATACGAGCATCCGCCGTCAGACCTAAAGAGAATAATCAAAAATTTACAAAGATACTGTGCAGAAAGAAACTGTCCAGATAGATAGAGATCCATCTATAAAATCCAGTACTTGTCCAAGCCAGAAAACAACCATGATGTTCCCTACATTTAAAAAACAGCTAATTAAAATTATTGATTTGAAATTCATTTTCTGAAGACATTGTGGATAACTGTTACGATATCCAAATACATATATGATTGACTATTCATGATGAATGCAAACTTTGATTTTTATAACAAACCAGAGCCTGACATGTCAAAGAAACAACAACAAAACAGTTTTAGAGCTATACGCCATGCCACTGCAGTTTCAAAAAATATATTTATAATACATTATTTATAATAACAATGACTTTGGTTGTATTAACGTACCTGCAAATGCCATGCAGACATGCTCATCCAGAGCACATATCTTGCGGACAGTTCTTTCTTCCTGGAGTTTTGCAACAGACTTCTTCTCCACACCAAGGACGACGATGTCTTTACCTCTTATTCCCACCTGCAAAACAGTGGCAAGATTTTAAAAGACAATCGTGTTTACCAATGAAAGTGATTCTGCTATTTGAAAATTTGCAAAGTTAGTTTGTATCAGGCCACTTGGGTGCAGATTTGGCAAGCTACAAGTAGCAGTAGTAGTATTTAAAATAGATTTTGTTTATCTCGTATAAGTATACACTATAATAAAAAACGAAACTGTTTGGAGGGTGACACAGCGACAAATTTCTCTACCCGTTTCCTGAGGCATTAAATATATACAAGGACTGGAGAAGGTTATTTACATTCCTGTCGGGCTCTAAATAAACTCATACAGTTTGATAAATATTTTGATTTAATCAATTACAAAACTGGAAACAGAAGTTATATGCTATATGCAAGTATATGCTAGTACTCGCTAGCTAGCACAACTAGCCAATCGTTGCTAAGACATGTTAGCCTCTGCTTTAGTTTCATTTTCAGGACATACCGCAGTTGAACCTTTCTTTACAGCTTCTTGTGCATACTCCACTTGAAATAGATGTCCATCTGGAGAAAATACTGTAATAGCTCTGTCATATCTTGCCGCCATTGCGCCGCAAGACAAACTCAATCACAAGCAAAATGTGAGACTTCAACTCAATGATTCAGCTAGTTAGCAACAAGCCAGTGTAGCGGATCCGTGTTCAGCACCACGCATGCGTAACACCTTTGAACTCGGACTGTACCATACGGTAAAGTTTTTTCTAATCCATAAAATAGTATAGGTTATTTTAAAATAAATTGTTCACAATAAAGCCGTGTTGTAATATCGTTTTAATTACTCGGAGATAGATGTGAAACGGATTTGAGTATTGTTTTATTTTCTACCTACGTTGCGTGTCTTTACGATTTATATATAATTGCGATTTATATTAGAATGTAAAATATATAGTTTTCGTACATATTGACCCCAAGTATGTTTTCTTTAAAACCACTTTTTCAATGTTTTTACAACTGATTGTTGTTGCTGCTTTTTGTTGATCAGTCCATTTCCCGTGGCCTTTCGGACGTGCAGAATGTTCCATTATAGAAAACTTAGGGGGGTTCTTCATTTAATTATTGCAAAATCGCAAATTATTCACATAAATTTATATTTTGGTTTGTCATTTTATGTATTTACAATAAAATATTAAATTTAATCAGTTACATGTTACCAAAAATGAATAATACTTAAAGACTGTGTTTTCAAATTTACTCCATCCCCCCCAGAACGGATCACTGCATTATGAAACTGCATCCTATTCTGAACTCTTTGATCTGAGTTCTGCGGATTTGTTTAGTGACTTTTATGCGCTAGGATACTTCATTTTCTCTTACTTATCACCATGTCGGTGGCTTTTGCACCTCACAGGCAACGTGGAAAAGGCGACATAACACCCGCTGGAATACAAAAGGTAATTTATCATTTTTAGCGCGTAGCAGAATGGGGGCAATGGTTGCAGACGATGTTAGCATGAGAGCTAATGGATGTAGCAGTGCCCATCCGTGTCTGTGAATAGATCAGGAACAATGTTGCAGGGTCAAAGCGCGGTGAATATGAACCTGCCCAGAGTCAGGGAGCCATATCTCTTCACTCGGTCTGATGGAGGGTTGCTCAATAAAAGTGTAAATATGTTTTAAATGATCGCAGGCCTTTGTTTGTGTCAGCAGGGGACAGCAGCTAGCAGACGCGTCTTTTGTTAGCCAGAAACGCACACTCATATTTAACAAAAACGCTGCTTTAATTTAAATGTGGTTTTATTTTTTTTCCAAAATACCAATAAAAATTAAAGCACATTCGACACAGTGGCTTTCAACATGTTCCCATTTACATTATGTGTTTTCACAATAGATATAAACGTGACATAAATTAATGTATTTGCCTTTGCAGTTGCTGGACGAAAACAACCAGCTGATCCAATGTATAATGGACTTCCAGAGCAAAGGCAAAACAGCTGAATGTTCACAGTAAGTAAACATTTCTTCTGAATTAGCTTAATTTTGTTCATTTACCAACAAAACCGACCCTTTAACAACGTTTTTATTTCTGCAGGTATCAGCAGATGCTACACAGAAATTTAGTGTACCTGGCTACGATAGCAGACTCCAATCAAAACATGCAGTCCCTCTTGCCTGCTGTGAGTATCGCTGCTTCTGTGAGTGTACCTGTTAATGCCAGTTACAATTGATTTATTTAGCCCTGTATGATATTTATTTAAATAACCTTGTGTTTTTTGGCAAATGAAAGACGTATGCCAGCACTGTTGAATTCAGTTCAGTTTGACTATCAACAAATTGCCCAACCAGAAATGCATTGTATTTTTTTTTACCTATTACATTTCTTTACTGTTGTTCTGGGGGAGGTTTAGTTACATTTTGTATGCAAGGCCATCATGTTGAAAAACACATTATCTAATTAACTAATTCACAGGTGAAATATAGTATATGAGATTTTGTGATCACATTCAGGAGTAACAAAGTAAAGTAACAAAAGGCAAAAGATAAACTCATCACAGTTATAATGAGAAGACTTTTTTACATAATCATCTACCCCTTGTGTCCTCATTTTTTACTTGATAATGTAACATGTGTTTTTGTGTCTGTGTTGTGCGTCCCTACAGCCACCCACTCAAAACATGCCCATGGGCCCTGGTGGGATGAACCAAAGCGGACCTCCCCCTCAGCCTCCTCACGGTCACAACATGCCCGCTGAGGGTATGGTCAGCGGAGGCCCTCCAGCACCACACATGCAGAACCAGATGAACGGACAGATGCCTGGTACGTGGTCTCTCTGTCAAACGGACCTCCTTTGTCCATCTCTCTTT